CCTGAATATTAATAAACTTAATAATTTATGTCCTACCGTTTTTCATTAACAGAATGATTATTAAGTCATTTAGTACTGAACACTTGACTTTCCTCTCTTGATTACAAAAGATAGAAATTTTTATATATGATCAAGCATTATATTAATTGTTGATTTCTTTTATTTATTTTATAAAAAAAACCTATATAAAAAATTGAATTTGAAGGAAAATCTTGACCTGCTGTGTGAAGAATTAATTAAAGAAAAATTTGGTGAGAACTGCAATTTTGACGTGGATGATGCAGTGCAAAAGCTGGACAAGTTAGGACTTGTTTCCCAGGTGATACGTACACTTCTTCTTTCCCTGTCATTTTGTTTCTCATTGTTATGACTATATATTATTATATATATAAACCATTTAGGCAGTCGTAAATTTTGATGCATTCAATCACTTGCTCATTAACTCTCTTTGATATCAATTATCATATTTACATTTGTTTTGACTAGAGACTACGTTTTTTTTTTTTTAACCCAGGATAACATTGGAGCATACACATGCATAAATTTGAAGGATGCTAACAAGATCATTGGCATCACAACAGAGGAACTCGTCCTTAAAGCTAGAGACGGTGGTGGCTCACCACCCTAATATGGTAATTGGCAAGTTAAAAATTTTGATGCCTCCTCCTTGTTCCTGCATCAAGGGAGGTCATCGACCAACTCATTGTTACGCCTCACCTACCCAAGACGCCCTAACCTGTAAGCTTTTTACGAATCAATTCCAATGTAACATCAGTTTGTTCTTTTTTTTTTCTTTTTTTTCTTTTTTGTCTGTAACTATGTAGACATAGTATTTGCTTTCTTAAGCTGGGATAAAATATATTGAATCTCTAGTTTGCGAAACAAATTTTGACCCACATCAAACAATGAGTTACTTGTTTCTATTAATTACATTTTAAAGTTAATGTTACTGCCTGCAAATACTAGCAATGATCTATCATTTGCTGTCTGTCCCTGCAACACTTTTATCTCTAATTTGCGTCTTCCTTTTCCTCCTCCTCACTCTTTTGTCACCTTCATTACATTCCTACAAAGCAAAATGCCGAATTGTATCAATATTGGAATTTATTTCCATCATATTTGCATTAAATTTCTCCAACTCTGTAATGTGCCTAAAACTTGATATATTACTATTGCCATAGATTGCAAAAAACCTTCTTCTTTTTTTTTTGTTTTTTTTGATAAATATCAGAAAACATATTATTAACAGAGAATACTACGCTAATATTTTAAATCTTCTGTCACACCGAACACTAAAAACTTTAGATCCAACGCTCCATTGCAAGTTGCAACCATCCTACACAACATCAAATGAAAACAAGAAAAGCTTGCTATTTATATGTTCCCTAATCAGCTCGGTTCATGTAAGTACTCCTTCCAGTTGACACTATGACGGCATGTGGACCAGAAACAGACCAATAAGAATCCAACTGGAATCTTCTATAGGGCAATCTTGTTTCGGAAGTAAGGATCTGATCAAGTTACAACAAACGATAACATGTCCAAAAAGACAAATATATATATATATATATATATAAAGTCTGATCTGATAGCATTGTCATCCTATGAATCTATCTATTTAAGCTAGCAGGGTGACGATAATTACACAAGATTATTTCTACATCTACATAAACAAGTCACACTGCACAACACAAGAGTCACAAGACAAATCTTTTAAAATTAAGAGGGAGGGGAAGTGGAATCAAGCACAAAGGAGTTGTATGAAAAACAGACCTTAACAGACCCAGGATTCAGGTTTTCATGGCTTCTTTTCTTCTTAAGCGAAAGTGGATTTGGACCCTGCAAAATTCAAGAAGAAGAGATGATTAAGAACACCACCTGAAATAAAGCAGTAACAATAGGAATGGTAACATATCACTAGTTATGTTTTATTCTTCTTAGGTTTTTTTTTTCCCCTTAAAATTTAATTAATTAGCAGTCCTTATGAATTTGCTATCTGTTCTGTAAGTTTTCTTTGAAAAAGCACAATGTACTTGGATATTATCTCAGGAGTAAAGTGACTCTAAAGGGATACAAAGGACTTCACCTTAGCTTTTTTCTCTTGAATTGAACTCTATCCTTCACACCTATTTCCTTTCCAGTATTACACTTTCTTGTGTTATGCGCCTGCAATCCACGAACATGATATCCTAAACCTTCAACATCATTAGACAACTCTCCCACAACTGCATTCGCCAAAAGGCTTTTAGTCATCTTCTTCAATAACTTATGATCCTCTTCAGTCTTATGTAGACTTTCTTCTTGAGAAGCTTTGACAAACTGATATTGAAATGCAGATAGCAGCTCAAGGAAAAGGGCATGTCTTATAGAAAATACTAAAGGAACACCAGGCTCCTGGAGGGAGGAAAATGAGACAAATAAAATTGCACGTTTAAAGGTGCTATTACAACACAAACTGATTAAAAAAATTAAGAAAGAAGGACCATGGAATTTGTCTATCATTCCAGAACTGAACATTAGGGACTAGAAGAATTTTACCCACACAAACACTTGCACCAAAAAGCACACCCAACAGCTGGAAAAATATCTTTGGTACAGTAAAAATTGATTTCACTGCCATGACTAATATTCATCAAAACACTAGCATGAAATCAGTTATTGATTTAACTATTTAAGGATGTACTAGTAAAACACTAGCCTCCCTCCTGAGGCCTGTTTCAAAGATCCACATGCTGGGTAACAACGAAAAGGCGGTCGGTATTATTCTGTCCAATTACATCCAAAATGCAAACATCAGCACCCTTCTTCTTCTCATGATCACATCTGAATTAAGTTAAATGAGAAAAACTTTCCACAATCATATTAATAATAGGCAAAATAAAATAAGAAGCACACGCACTAAATTCTAACATAACAGACTGGCAGCTAAGCCTAGACCACAATGGATGCAAAATCAAATATGAAAGTGATGAAAGAAGTTACCTTGCAATTGTGAGTTTGTTAGCAGCTTGGAAGGAGTGAAAGTAGGAAGCATCAAGAGTCTTCAGCTCTGCAAGAAGACATCTAGAAGAACTTATTAGGTTAGGTATAACTATAAACAAAGAAAGTCAAAAGAAGAGCGGAGCTGACATGGTGGTGAAAAGCTTGACAGTCACACAAAGGCAATTAAAG